GCACTAACCGCTGCACAGCGCTGCGTTAAACTGTGCACATCCCTGCACCAACCGGTGCACAGCGCTGCGCTAACCACTGCCCAGCATTGCAATAACTGGTTCACACAACTGCAATAACCTGTGCATGGCACTGCACTAACGGGTGCACAGCTTTGCACTAACGGGAGCACGGCACTGCACTGTTTCACAGTGCTGCACTGACGGGTGCACAGCTGCACTTGCCCATGACACCAAAAGGCTGGCATAGCAGCTTCCTACCATTTCATCCAGGTTTCCCTGGCCCCTCTCGTTTAGGCCAGGTCTCCCCCGCAGCCATTCTGTCCACGCCACGGCTGGAATGACAAAATCCACACTTCCCTGACAGCCTGTCGGCACCTCCTGCTCCAGTGCCCACCTGGCTCTTTCAAATGGCAATCACAGCCCCACCAATTCCTCCATCAGAGCGGCCCGGGGTGCCGAGCCAGTTCAGTCCACACCAGACTGCACAGCGACTACTCCGTGTGTTCCTCACTTCAGTTCTACACTTGCCTGAAGGATTCTTGGGTTTTCTGCACTTGGTTTTGCTCTACCTGCTGCTGTTTGACACTTCCCCAAGTCACCAGCCTTGGAATTCTGGTTTTAACTAAGAACTCTTCCCACATCCCTGATCAGCGCTGCCCTGTTTCCCACGGTGGCTGTAGTGTCAGCACAGAGCTCAGAAGGGTCTGCAATGTGGTAAAAGCTTAAGAAAAACGTGTCCTTGAGCTGTCCGGTGAGGGTAGACATCACTCAAGTGGCCGTCTCAGGAGACAAGTGGCGGCTTTGGCAAGATGCAAGGTTTGCTTAGGTGTGTGACAATGTGGAAGATTCGGGAAAACGAGGCTACCGAAACAACCCAAATTCATAGTAAGGGAGATGTTTTCAGTTTCTGGCAAAGTGCAGAAAAAGGGCCTTGTCTGAACTACGTAAGATAAGTTTGGTTCTCCATTCAGGAACAGGCAATGCTCCTTCCCCAGGAGAGCACCATGCAGAGGATGCACCCCTTCATACTGCATGGAGGAAGAACCAACATTCCCAAATGCTGCTCTGGGGTTTGGTTTGTGCCTAGCAGCCAACGCAAGCCACAGCGCTCCGCTCTGGCTGGTGGCACATGGAAGGTTTGCAGTTCCCAATCTCCTGTGTCCAAGGGAATGGGGGCTATCTCCCTGCTTCCTGGGCAGTGAACACCAAGGTGCTGCAACCATCTATTCCCACATGGCTCCTGCTGGCAACAAGGATCCAGGGCTGAAGCTGAACAGCAGAAAAAAGCAATGGGAATACAGTAAATGCAATTCCATCCTTCAGTTCTGGCAACTGCTGATGGGAAACAAGGAGCTGTCGCCAAACCCAGACGGGTTTTGCTCCAGGGTCCAAATACAAGAAGGTGACCTCATCCAGCAATGGATGAGGCCTGGAGGACTCTGCTAGGATTCCTGTCCTTCGACTCAAACAGCTGCAGGTCCTCTGCCTGCCTGGGGATCCCTTTCCTGCAGTGCCCCTGCCTGGCCGTGAAAATTCAGTGTCAATCCTGCATTCCTCAGGTCTGGCCACGACACAAGGGATCTCAACAAACTGGAACTTCAGACACGTGCTGTATTCCTGCACCTTTCAATGGAATTTCCCCCTTGGACCTTTTCTGAGGCTCCTGGGAAAGCACCCCTGGTTTGCTTTGTCCACAGCGTCACTTTGCAGAAGGCATGCACCCTGGAGTATCCACCAAGGAGTGCTGCACGTGGAAACCAAGGCAGTGGACAAGGGAGGTGGTTGGAGAGAACTCCTGCATTGATAGGGCCTGTGGGGGGCTTGGGGGGCACAGGGGTGGCCCCTGGGAAAAGCTGCTGGAAGCTTCCCCGGCTCCAAGTCGGACCCACCTCTGGCCATGGCTGAGCCAGTCAGCGTCCCTGTGACTGACATGTAAGAGGGAAAACAAAGGGACCCACAGCAGAGAGGGGTTGGATATGGGATGTGGGATGGAGATAGCCAGGCGGACGCCCAGGTGGGTGTGGAAGGCAGGAGGAGGTGCCCAGAGCAGAGGGTCCCAGCACTGGGGAAACAGCAGTCTGTGCCCTGCAGCCATGGGGGGTCCCAGGGAGGCAGAGACACCCTGCAGCCTGGGCAGGACCCCACACTGGAGCAGTGCCCAGGCTGGAGCAGGGGGATTCTGAAGGAGGGACCCACTGGAGCAGCCCATGGGAAGGACTCAAGTGGGAACGGTTGGAGGAAGACTGTCTCTCGTGGGAGGGAACTCATGCTGGAGCAGGGACAGAGGTTGAGAACCCTCCCCTAAGAAGGAAGGAGCAGCAGAGACAGCGTGGGATGGACTGACCCCAACCCCCATTCCCGGTCCAGGTCCAGAGGGATGCTGCTTTCTCTCCCAAAGTCCTGCTGGAATGCTGGATTGCTACAGCTGACAACAGACAGCCAGAGCTGCAGCAGGAGGGTGGCCCGGGGACCTCTGAGCAGGGAAGATGCCAGCTCCGGTGGAAAGCACAGAGGGAGGCAGAGTTAGTGCCAGGACATTAATGGCTGTTCAGCAACAACAAGGGCTCTTAATAAACATATGGTGGGGTTGGGATCTGACTTTGGATGGGAACAGCGCCAGTGGCCCAGGCCAAACCAAGAACTGGGGGGCTGACTGCACCCACACTAGTACCTTCCTGGAGAAGCAGCACATGGAGCATTCTCTGGCTTGGGTCTGGACAAGCTCCAGTCAGTATTGGGAGGAATAACCATTCCAGTACTGCACACGGATGATCACTGAGACAGACCTGGAGGGTCGCAACAGAGACACAACCGCGTGAATGGTATCGGAGACTGGAGCGTACGGCGGGTGTGCGAAGCACTGCCGAGGGTGCCAGCTGCCTACACCACATCATGCAGGGACAGCCCCCTGCTCAGGCTGGGGCCCTGCAGCCTCCACTCCTGGTGTACCCACATCCTGCAGGAAAACGTTGCAAGTAAAGCAGGAAAACGGAAGACAGGGAACTTCCTTCTCCAAAACAGGGGTCAGGCTCCCAGGATGCAGACTGAGAAGCAGAGGATGGGTTTCCATTTCTTTCTTAGGACAAGAAAGGAGGAATAAAATAAACAGTAAGCTGAAACATCCATCAGCAACAGGCTTGGGAAAGAAGCGGTGAGAACTGGGAGAGGCACTTAAGCAAAATGAGTGGGATTTAGCAACCCAGCACCAGATTCAGTGTCTGCCTCCAGTTCTGCCCTTACCCCCACTTGGTGGCCTCAGGCAAGTCCATCACTCTCTCCCTGACAGGCAGCCCCTTGCTCTTTTCCTGTCTTATCTACCAGATCACAAGCTGTATTCTGCACCTCCCCCCCGCCCCCCGGCACTTTCTCATAGGGTGCACTTGTTTAGGCAAGAGGTCCCGGTTCTGCAGGGGGTTTCTTGTGGTTGCTGCCAGACTTGAACAGGCAGTACCAGGGTCGCTGATGAGCTGATAAAGCTCAGAACGCACATGATGGCAGGACACCATGCTGCCCCGGGACACCACAGTGTGCAGGCCGAGGGACAGACAAAGGGGGCAGATCCCCTCCTCCCTTTCTGCACAGGAACGTGCCACGACTCTTCACACCAGCGCTAACAGGGAGCAAAATGTGGCCACGGGGGATTTGGAGTGAGGCAGACTGGAATAACAGATACATAGCGATTTTACAGAGGGTGATGTTAAGAGGAATTTCATATTCTGAGTGTTTAGACTTCCAGAAGAATAAGGCTGGAAGGGGGTTTCTAGGAGTCTCTTTGCATTAAAGCTCAACTTTCCAAGCTGTAACAGCTTGCACTGCTGCACTCTCCACTTTCAGCAAAAGCTAAACCTTGCCACGGCGATGTTAAACGTTCTGGGGAGACAACTGTGGTGTGAATGGCTACGCACAAGCACCCTCATCAAGCAGGCTATTTGTGCCTTTTCCAAACCTCTCCTTCCTCTGTGCGTGAGACCAAAGCACCACGATGGCTTTGAGGAGCTCCTCTTTTGGAGGGGATGGTACAAAGCCACAGTAAGTCCCTGCCAAATCCAAAGGAACAGCACTAAATCCTGACTGTTGGTTCAGAAATTACTTAGTGCTTCTGGCTCCCAGCACCTTGGAGGTCCTGAAGCTGTCAGAGGCTACACCTGACCCAGCCAACTCCAGCGTCTTCTGGCAACTTAGTACCACTTTGACAATTAATTACTAATCACTGGAGGAATGGAGGGGGTGCTTTGTTCTGAAGTCAGATTATCCAAGGATTTGGAGAGAACTCCAGGAAGTGCAAGTGGAAACTGAGGAAACCCTCTTAGCTAACTGCAGGGCTGTTTCCAGAACTGCCTTCTCCAGCCACGTTCACTGCACAACGAACGTTTTGGGTGTGCAAAGCAGCAGCAACACTGCTGTGCCCCCAGGAAATCTGGCTCTTCTGCTCAGCCACTGCTTGCCTTCTCAGCAAATCACAGATTTGAAAGGGACTTGATTCCTCTGTCACTCAAGAATAGGGGAGATCCAAGGAACTGGTCAGCCTGACCTTGATCCCTAGGAAGGTGATGGAGCAAATAATTCTGGGAACCACTTCTAAACACAGGAAGGACAAGAAGGGGAAGTCCTTATCCTGCAAAGATTGGGGAACATCCACTGCCAATTAACTGCAACTGTTCCCAAAGTGTAACAGCGCAGACCTGTTTGTTTCTTCAATGCCAATAAGCAGAATTTTGGACTGGGTTGGTGGGCTTTTTTCCCTAAATATACCTGTTCCACACAACAAACAAACAAACCATCAATCATGTGAACAAGTGCAGGACTTACGTATGATCCATAATTCACTGCTAGAGTCTGCAAAGCCCATGGGAGGCCTAGGCCAATTAAAATGTCAAAGACATTGCTGCCGATGGAGTTGGACACGGCCATATCCCCCATACCTGCAGGAACGGAAACCATGTACAGTCAGATACATCTCGGAAGAGTCTTTCAACTGCTATCTTTCACCTTTTCAACAGAAATAAGTTAATGTGAGCTCATTCAGACACTTCCATGGACTAAGGCAACGAGCTAAGGGAGATGCCCCTCACCCCATCCCTTCGCCCTCCCCATCACCCCGGGCCAGCAGGGCTGAGGGGGCTGAATCCACCTGCTGGGATCATCCGAACTTCCCTCAGCCAACCCTCAGCTACTGGGGGGCCACTGGCCATGACCTGCCGGCAATCCCGTGCCACACCTGGGGGGTTGCAATGCTGCACTGGGACCATGACACCAGGTTCTGTTCTGCACTGACTAGATGAGGTCTTTGGGGTGTCTACGAAGCAGCCGCTTGTTTCAGTTAAGGAGACACTAGCATTGTTCCCCAGCTTCCTTTTTAACACCTGCTGCTGGAGTCACAAGGGGCACAGGAAAAGTCTTCCTTAAAAACAGTAGTACCTTCCTGTCCTTCTGACTGTGGAGCAAAGCTGGAAATTACCCGAAAGACCCTGATGCCACATTCTAAGCAATTCCATACCATCGACACTTAAATTAGGAAAGACTCTCTGACTTTTGTGGAAGGCTTGAGGCTGACAGCAGTGCCAAAGCGTGTTCCACGCCGTCATTAGGAACCTCTTAGCTGCTTCGCAGCAGCATCATAATCAACCTCCTTTGTTCTTGTTCTAAATCTCAGCCTCAGGAAAAGGGCTCTGTACGTTTCCACGTTCAGGACACCTCTGTGCTTACCCAAAGGAAGGAGGAACCACTCCCAGAGCAGTGTGAGATCCCCGTGATGAACCTACCTTGTCTTGCTACAATAAGGCTGGCCATGCAGTCTGGCACACTGGTTCCAGCTGCCAGGAAAGTGATCCCCATGATCACATCTGGAATGCCCAGTGTGTAGCCAATGATTGTCACCTAAGGAGAGGGAATAAACCGTCAAGCTGTTTACAAGGAGTAAAATCAGAGACCAGCTTGGCCCAGATCTGCAAGACACAGCGAGACAGAGTTCATGGTTCAGTGCAAACTCACACTTTAAGGAAAAGCTTTCGTTAATGATCTTTGGCTGTAGTCATCGCCTGGCAGAGGGCAGTGCTAGGTATGTACCCTCTTTGGTTATCACAATCCTAACTGTGGGTTAGGAAAATCCACAATTTCCCAGACACTAACGTGGAGACTGTCTGAAGGGCCTGTGTAACTCTCCTGACGCTGGCTTAAGTCTGCAGACATGATTATGCCCCAAAACAGCTACACAGACACGGAAACAACCCCGTGGCTCATTGTGCTGGGAAAGTGTTAGAGACAGGGGCATATCCCGAAGTGATTTTTTTTGGCACAGAAGAGATGCCCTTGCTTTCCTCTTCCCTTTGCTACACAGTCAATGGGAAATGACTGCTCCTCAAACCCATCAGTATTGTTCAATTTTGGATGCCTTTGTCAAGTGATGCCCATTTCCTATTAGCCAAGATTAATTGCTCCTGTGAACTCCCCACAACACACTCCAAGGAATGTAAACCGTATGTTAGAAGCTTCCCAGCCCCTGCCCACAGCTGGAGTGTTGCTGGGGGTTGTTGTGGTTGTTGTGGCCCAAGGGAAGGAGCCAGCACTTGGCCATGTTGAAAACAAACCAAAATAAATCTGCCTCTTGTAGCTGCCTTCCTTCATTCGCAGAGCAAAGCCTGGCACTCGTTTTTGAGTCCAAGAATGAACTGTGAAAGCAGTCAAGATTTCTTTGTTGCCCTCTTCTCACCAGGGAAGGAGCGGCCAGGGCTCTAGTGAGGGATCACCATGCTCCCAAGGTCCCATGTGAGACAGACCATGCATCGTGCACCCCACGGCAAGGCTTCCCATGTCAGACCCCCTCCGCATGCCAATGCCCCATCATCATCTGGTTCTGCTGAAGAGTGCAGCCCGCCCCAAAAGCCGCACAGTCCCCGCTGTGGTATTGCTGCAATCCTAATGAGGACCACTGATGCTTTCCACCTACACATACCATGCAGTAAGGCCTGCAGCAAGCTGACAGGCTCAGCAGCCCAGCCAGCACCCAAACTCCTCCTGGAACAGGCCACCGCACTTGGGCTTCCTTGTGTTCACTGTTATTGAGCCCTTTCTACCTCTAGAATTGAGATCCTGTTGACTAGAGTGGCTGTGCATGCTGAGATCAAAGTGTCATCATTCACAACTCTGTCTCTCAAACTGCTTACTCCAAGGAAAGGGAAAGCTATGGAGGCCACATTCTTATTACCCTCAGGGCCTCCCTCTTTCCACTGCCCTGCACAATAAGGAGGTGCTAAACAGCTGCAAATCCAATTTATTCAAATGTTAAAGCATCTCAGTGAAATTCTAGCCCTGAATCAAGTCCAAAGGCCATGGCTACTGGCCCGTTTTCCTCTCCCAGTGCAGACAGGTCTATTAGGAATGGAAGCAGCCTTAAAGCTTCTCATCTAAAGATTCAGGTATGCAGAGCTCTCTACACTTCCCTAAGCTGACAAAACCCACTTCTGTTGCCTCTCCCAGGCTGTGGTTTCTGCCATAGTCGGTACGTACCATCCACACCATCATGTAGGAGAAAGCCGCAATCCAGAGGGTAGAAGAAGCAAAGGTCACCATGAACCACTTTTCCAGGTGGGGTTTGTTACAGTTGGGCACCGTGAAGTACAGGACGAAACTCAATGGCCACGTGAAGAGCCACTTCAAGATTTCCATCTTGCCAGCTGCGAAACACAAAAAGGAAAGCAATCACCACCCTAGCCTGCTTTATCCAGAATGCTGTGATTGTGTTAACGTAAGCAAGCGAGATGCTGCAGGCACCTGAGCCCACCCGCAATTTGAAGAGCCAGACATTCCTTGATCAAGAGATCACGGTGTGATGGCAGACAGGGGTGCAGGGAAGGGGTATGAAGTGCTCCCCTCAGAGTTCACTAAGCAATGGGTCAGAGCACACCTGCTACCCTCCCTGGGTCAGGTGCTTACAAGCACCACAGAAAAAGCAGGTTCTGGGAAGAGATCCGACCCACCTTCACCTGCCCGATGCGTGGGTATAGAGAACATGGAGACGAGCCCTCCGCAAAAATGCTTAAGGGAATTGTAAGAGCCAGTGGCCTCAACTCGCAAAAAGGGAAGTTCAGAACAGACACCACTGTAAGCTGTGCACTTCCTTTCTTTTCCTGACTTGAGGGTGGTCAAACACTGGAACAGGAACCCAAAAGGACTACGGGATCTCCATCCTTATGGAAAATGAAAGCTCAACTGGACGCAGCCTTGGGCAACCTGTTCTGAGCAGGGGTTTGAACCAGGGATCTCCAGCAGTCTATGCCACCCTCTCCCATACTATGAACCTAGTGTCGTGGTCCATGGGACATCCAAATTACCCTTTGAGGCTCGCTTTCCTGTCTGTACGTGAACTACAGCTATGCTGCCCAAGTGAGGAGATGGATCAGGGGTTCCCAAAAACACATCATCTGACCTGTGAAGAGCAGGATCTGTCCCTACAGCATCCAGACACCTTTCTAGCAGTCCCATCACCCTCAGCTTCCCTGCAGTCAGCAGGGAGATGGGTCTCTCCAGAGGGTGACACAGACTCCAGCGGCAGTAGGCACCCCCTGGAGATCACTGCCTCTCTGCTCTGACTTCGACCGCCCAGGAGATTGCATCCTGAGAAATTCCTGCCACTTCCCACTTCCTCCCAACTTTTACCTGAGACCAGAAACCTGACTACAAGGGGGAGGCTAATGGGAGCTCTCAGAGACACTGTTACGTCTAGACGCATCCGCGTCTTTCTGGCACACCCAGACAGTTTCGCTTTCTGGAACAAGAAAAACCCAGGAGCTTCTTACTGGGTAGGTCAAAAGGTGTGTATGGCCCTTCGTGGTCATCGTCGTCATCATCTTCTTCCTCTTCCTCATCATTTTCATTGTTCTCGTTATCCTCAGTCTCGGTCTCATTCCCAGCTTCAGCGACATCTTCGTCCCGCCGCGTGCCGTTCACACTGCGCTCCGCTGAGTTGCTGGGGCCTGTTCCGTTCTCCAACACGTGCTTGATAGGGATTTTGATAGCTACTTCCGACTCTCCGTTGGTGTAAGTCCTGCTGTTGATCAACCTTTGTCTCTGTAAACAGAGGCACAAATTCTTGCTGAGAGACAGACTGGGTTTTGAAATTTCATTTTCCAAAGAGAAAGGGAGGAACAGGGAGATGTGAAGAGTTCTTTAGACATCTGGCTTTACAAGCAAGACACGGTGATCAGGTGTAATGCCGTACTTGCTTGTGGCTCAATTTCACACATACATTCCCAAGAGGAGGAGCAGTGGCTGCGGAAGTGACTGCAGGGTTACTCCAGACTGAGTGGAGACTCAGTGGAGTGCCACACCATTAAATAAGCATGAGCAGTACTCATGTCAGGTCGATGCGGGGGCACCTCCTGTGAACAGCAGCTCAGGTAACACAGCCACATAAAAACCTGAAACTTTCCTGTTTGGGGACAGCCAGCTAGGAATGATTTAGCAGCAGTCAGAATGATAAAATCTAAGAAAATGCTACCAGAAGGTGCAGAAAAAGCACGAGTTCCATGTCAGCCCAAACGCTGCTACAGGAAAAAGCAAACTCAGGAGAAGGGGAGGTGGGGGCAGGTAAAAGATAATACCTCATTGATTAACATGCGGCTGGCCATGGAGAGGCGTGTTTTGGGAGGGAAGTGGCTGGTTATCATGATCCGGAGCCCAGCCTCAGAAAAGGAAAGCTGGTGTGGGTAGGCAGACAGCAGCTCATCCACCATGATCACCGAGGCTTTCCGGTGGAAGTTCCCTGCAGCCAAGGAGCAAAGAGAAAGTGAGGTCTTCTTCCAGCAGTCTCTGCTCTGCCCTACACAGCTCTCAGCAGAATAAATCCACGCATTCCAGCCAACCTCTGTAAGAGCCATTATTCCTTCTGATACCGCCATGGAAAATGCGCCTCCTCTGTCCTTCATTTCTCTGCTTACATCTCCCACCTTTCTGCATGTCAGTAAATACCCAACATGGCATCTCCACTCACGCTCGTTACAGAGATCTATGCTGCTCTGCATGGCTCATTGCAGGCCTGCACCAGGCAGACCAGCGCTCCCATGGCAGCTGTTCTGAATGCTGCTGCAGTAAAGCCAGAACAACAGTACAAGGAGATGAGCAGGTCCCCAGATCATGCTCCAGCTTGGGGCACGGTGCCAGCACCCATTACCACTGCAGTGGCACAGTGCCAGTGCTCATCCTGCCTGTGGGTGCTGCCAGTGCTGGGTCTCGGCGGCAGAGAAACCCCAGGTCCTCTCGGACACATCTCTGCTTCAGTTCAACAGCATCAGCACTGGACAATGGCATAGGTTCCATGACGTTACTATTTATTACCACCAGAACAGTATCTCCTCAGCCTTAGCGTCAGTTTTTGCCCTAACTGGGAAGGTTTCCATGGATTTGGGTAGATGAGTGGAGTCACCCCTATTAAAAAAACAAGAATCTAAACATCCAGACAGCTTTTCCTTCTGGATTTTTCCATGCTGGCATTTCCTGCACGGTACTTGGGGGGACTGCCCCAACCACAGAAATCCTGTTAGATTCCCTGTTGTCCTCTGTTCAGTGAATGCCTCTGAAAACAAATAGAAGTGCCTGAAAGCCTTAGGTGATGTGTTGCAATTGGGGCTGTTTTCTGGCCAGCCACAGCAGCCCCACTCACCTGTCCATGCCACCCTGCCCCCCCCCCTCCGCGGCCCACTGCCATGAGAACACGGGAACAGGCTGCAAAAAAACGAGGCAAGACTTTCATCTTCCTCGGCCAGCACGAGTAACCCCAAGTGTCCGACACAAAACTACCAGCAGCTGAGCAGTGTCATGCAAAGAGGCATTCTAGGGAGATTTACACCAAACCCCACATCAGAGCTGCATGTAACCCCGAGGCCACCATGTAAACGTGGATGAGTAAGGCCTGAGTTTTCCCAGTCTAGCTGTACTGGTATGGGGTGTGGTCATCTTGCCAGTACAGTTCCACTGCTGGGAGCCCCAGGCTACACACAGCTGTTCCCATAAAAGCAGCTTCCCCAGACCGGAGCACAGCAAACCAGGCTCAGCAAAGCCTGCACTCAGCAGCGGGGCAGTAACACCACGGCTGGCCCCTGCAGGCCCAAAGGGTTTGATGTCAGTGAACAAACCCCTCTACATCGCATGTTTCGTTGCTTCAGAGAAAGAAACACTTGGCTTTGTTAATTTTTTTGAGTCCAGGAAACAAGAAGGGCAGCCCAACTGTAGCCAGAGACCAGGGCTGCATTAGAGAAGCCAGAGCTCACCCAGGAATCCTACCTAGTATGAGCAGGGCCCTTTTCCCTGCTTGGTTCATGCCACTTTGGAGTGGAGTTCACTGGAGGTACCTGATGTAAACAGCCACCCTCAGGGCAGAATCACAGCCCCCACAGGACTTACAATGGCATGACCGCAACAGTCTAAGTAAGTAGCCCCTGGGCAAGTCAGGCTCAAAGCTGTAGGGATCCTTTCAGTCAGGCACTTGTCAGCCGCAAGAACCACCCAGAAGAGCTGCAGCAAAGGATGCAGTGGCTGGGGCACCACGCTGTGCCTCCAAGCATGGGAGCCATCGCCATTTGGCTGGGGGTGATGAAAGGGCCACCTCCCTGCCTGTTTCATGGCCGACAGGACAGAAGCAGCCACAATGCATGACTAGCAGCCACTCGTAAATGTTCAGAATGATGCAAGCAAGCAGGGTGACTTACTGGAACAGTTACCTTTCTTTAGTAACACCACAGTAGCATCGCAGTTGCTGTTGTCGTCCATCTCTGTGTTGTTTGCTAAACCATTCACCATGTTGGTGGAGTTTTTTGTCTTCCTCTCAAAGCAGTGGTGTATGCTTGAGTTGTACCTGCACAAATGAAACAGCTCTAGAGGCACCTTTGCTCCTGCTACATGGATGTCTTGACACCCTTCCTTCCCCAGACACAGATCTCGTGTGATCCAGCTAAGGGAGGGAAGAAAACCCCTCTGGTTTTAAGGAAATCTAGCCACAGTGTGCTGGAGCTCAAACTGAATTACAGTCTCCCTGGACTTGGGCGGCCATGAAGCCATAAGACATCAATGCCATGTATTATGTGCGGTTAATATTCTGTATAGCAATAAGGACTACTTGTCATGGTCCAGATTTATTTTTTATTGCAGTCACACCTGAGCAGGAGTGTTGTTTCACCCGTGGAGACCTACCACAAGACCGTATGCTGTTACATTGCAACTTTGGGGGTGTATGGGAAAATAATCATCTTTGTTTCTTATTTTCTTTAGAGTAGCCAGGAGCTGACACAGCCAAGAGTTGAGGATCTCACCAGGACACTCACAGGCAAGGGCAGACCACTGTAAGCACCTTGCCAAGGGCCCTACCCAGGCCGACAACCTCCCCGGCTACATCCCAACAGGTCTGCGACAAGTCCACACTACAGCGCTGCTTTCAGAAAAAAACATCCCAACCTAGGTTCAGACACCACAACTCTTTTTTGCTGGTCAGTAAGTAGTTGCAAGGGTGAAGCTGCCCTCCATGTAAAGTTTCCTATTATGAGAAGGGAGAAAAATTCTGACTCGTGTTCCCTTCAACCCAGCCTGAGCGTCTTGCTGTTCTCACTGAGAGTTGCTCTCACAATATTTACTCTGTTCATAATTTCAAAACAAATCTCTGCTCTTACTTGTTGAGACAAGACCACTGGTGTGCTTGGCAGCTGGTAGGTTTTGTTGAATGTTCCAGTTTAAAGATGGGCTTCCTTTCTACTGGCTTTTAAAAACAAGGCAGGAGGAGGGGAACCAAACAGCAGAAGACACCAGCTTTGCCAGCACGAACTTGCGTGGAAGAAGTTACATGGGTCAGATGCTCAGAAAACCAACGCTGACTGTGCTGCAGTTTGATCACGGGCCTTCAAGCATGCAAGAACAAACTGCTGTGGAGTTTTGCACCTGTAAAAGCAGGCTGGAATCTCACGCATGTTTATCTCTGAGTAAGGATGCTAAAGCGAAGTGGGAAGAGACTGCTTTGGTGGGACCCAGAGACAGGTTCGGTTCTTGGCCCTGCCACAGCCTTGCTGTGTCAGCCTTGGTCAGTTCTCACAGGGTGAGATCCATAAAGCATCACTCACCGTCCAGTGTCTGCCCCTCAGAGCTATGCTGTGAGGATAAGCAGCCCCTTCCTGCCTCAGCAGGGTAAACCACAGACCGGCAGATGATGAGGCAAGGCACTTTAACCCCTGCTGTTGGAGATGCTGCTGACACGCAGCCGGGTGCTGCTGACACGCAGACGGGTGATGCAGTGGGAGCCCTGCCCACAGCCTGTGGCTCTCCAACTGCCTCCAGAGAGGCAGTGGAGCAGGCAACTTTACCACCTCAACAAGCCGAGGGCGTTTGACTTACTTCATGATAGCGATGTAGATGACGTACATCAGCACTAAGACTAAGGACTCCCACCTGCAAACAGGAGCGACACAGAAAACCCATGAGAGAGGGGCACGGTGCTCAGCCATCCCCCAGCTCCCACACCACAAACTTGCAGAAAGGCTGGACCCTCTTGTGCTGTCTTATACCTCTAAAGGATGGGATACATAACCAAGTGCCTCACACACCCATGTACAATGCCTCCTTTGCCTTCCTGACCTCTGCTCTGGTTTTATTTGGCCAAATCAACCCATCAGCGAAGACCAAGTGACTAAACCCAGAAGTTCAGTGAACAAATAGCATGTAGCATGTCCAAGGAACACCGACACCTCCATAAGGACAACACCCATGGAGGCTGCGGTGGAGGGAGCCGAGCAGTCGTCCTGCTCTGCCTGCAGGTCACTGGGCCTTCTGAGCGTGCTGGAACATGTTGAGCTGACCTGAACAAAAGGCAGCTGCTCTCCCACTACTGCTGCTGCATAACCACTGGGAATGCAGCAGGCAGCACTTTAAACTGCTGATTAGATATCGTCAGTTTTTTTCTCTGTTGTTGCTGTGTCAAACTAATGAAATGTGGAGGGAAACAAAACAGAACAGGACTTTCAGAACTTGTTTCTAGGCGATCATTTTCATGGACCAAAATGCTGCATGGTTCCCTCCAGCGAACTGCGAGCCCTGGTGGAAATCTTCCACCATCAGACTGCTCTGTTCCAAAAATCACAGGTTGTTTTCACAGAATCATAGAATTATTTGGGTTGGAAGGGACCTTAAAGATCATCTAGTTCCAACCCCCCTTGCCATGGGCAGGGACACCTTCCACCTTCCACTAGTTTTCTCTTTCAGGATTCTGATACATTGCGCTAACCCTATCAATATCTCATTCCTTGTTTCTGGCAGTTCAACACTCAGCTTCTGCACTGGTGCATGTTAGTTGAAGGGCACAGTCAAATACAATTGTGCCTGGAGTCAATTGCAGTTAAAAAAAAAAAAAAACCAAAAAACAAAACAAAACAAAGAAAACCAAGGCATTACAAAACTCAGTGTTTCAGAAATCCTCTGATATTAAACAGAAATCCCCCAGGGAGAGCAAGTTAAAGAAAACATGCAACCCCGAAAGCCTGACTCCTTCTAGTGTTTGTAATCCAAATAATACTGGCTGTGAGCAAATCAAAGCTACCACCGTCGCTCCACAAGCCCTGAGAGGTGCCAAGAACAAAACCGTGGAAGCAAAATAACGGAAAGCACACTTTTAAAAGTGCTTAAAGCCCTCCTCGCCTACCATACCTACTGCAGTTTCAAGGGAATATTAACATATTTGAGGTTTCTTTCTTTAAACCAGTCATTCACTCTTTAACACTGCCTTTTGCTTTTTAAATTATTAAAAAGCCAAATATTAGACCACACTAGTTTATGACTGCTTGGACGGCCCATTCCATTCCCAGCTGACATCCCAGGTACGTGGGCACCCCATCATCAGTCTCTGCCTCTGCCGAGCGCAGCCTGGGGCTGCTGCAGAGGGCACGGAGAAACAGCTGAGTGATGCTCACACAGGCTTTCTTCTCTGACTCAGAACACGAGTTATTCCAGCCCATCCTGTGCCGCACGCAGCAGGAAACTGAACCACCCTGCAGAACCTCTTAGCTTTCCCCTCCTCTCTTGACGAACCCTACTTATTGCAACTTTTGAGGCATATCCTGGAGAAATTAAAAGGAAAGGGATTCCCGACCGGATACACTTACCAGGAAACTTTTTCGTCGTAAATAAACTGTGGAGAAAAAGTTGAAAAATAGGCATGTTACACACGAAATCACCGCTGCAAACAGCTCATCACCTGGGCAGGGGGCAGAGCACCGGGACACTGACCTGCACGGCCGGAGGC